TACAAGATCTTTATGTCATGTTGTTTTAATAAACTACACAATATTGTAGAGAACCCATAGTTGAAGATAATGATTTGCTGTCGACAAGATCTTTATGTCATGTTTCTCTAATAAACTTGCTTGAATGATAAATCAATTAATCAAGTTGTAATTAAACTATAAACTAAATATGGTTGTGAACAATATTGCCAAACTTTGGTTTAGTTTACTGTTTTTGGAGTTAAATTTTGCAAGTCCACCTTTAGTAACACGCACGCGCCTAAAAACTTTTGGCATATTAAATAAAGCATCCTTGAGGTTTCAAATCATGGAAAAATATTCAGCAAAAGTAAATAGAATATTACTTTCAACAGAAACTGTTTTAGAACCTTCAATGTTTTCTTTAAATACTCATGCTCCAGTAATGGCAAAATTGGGGTATTTGTCAAAACCTCAATTTTTCTTATTTAAATATCTTTGCAACCTGGTGGTTGTATTTTAATCTTAGATTATTTTATCTAAATTAAATGACTATCAATCAAACAGTTTGGGGTTAAAGAAGTAATTGGCAAAGTCACCATTGATTTATGCTTGAGAGCTTGAGACTTTTATATCACTGGTATTCTGATCTACAACAGCCCCCCCTCCCGAGCATGAATTATGATATAAAAATAGGGTCACCCCTAAAATGATTTTAGGGCAGAAGAGTGCAGATGGAAAATTTATATTTAAACAATTAAATGACTATTAATCAAACAGTTGCCTAGGATAAAGGATTAGATGAAAACTCAAAGTAAAACATTATTGTTTAGGCAAGTTAAGATTATATTTTTCATGACTTTTATTTAATTTCAAGGTTTCCAGCTTATTTCAGACATTAATAATTTCATAGGTTACATCATTTTGTTTAAAGTATTAATATATTTTCTGAAACTTAAGGGACTGTAGACGTAATTTCAAGTAAACCTTAATTACAGAGTGGCATGTCTCATTCCCGATGGTACCCTTTAAACCTCTATCCAAATATATTGTTGTTTTTTCTTCTCTAAAAAGCAATTCATTTTGAGAATTCGCTAATCTCTTTCACATTCAAAAGTAATCAATTTCCCAGAGTGAAAAATATAATATTTCAGTCATCCATAATTAAACAAAGGTTTAAAGAGTACCATTGTAAATCATACATGTTAATCTATAAATGGATTGTTAATTGAAATAACCTCTTCAGTCCCTTGAATTGTAAAATTAACAATTAACATGTTAATCTATAAATGGAGGGTTAATTGAAATAACCTCTGCAGTCCCTTGAATTGTAAAATTAACAATTAACATGTTAATCTATAAATGGAGGGTTAATTGAAATAACCTCTACAGTCCCTTGAATTGTACAAATTAACAATTAAAAAATGAGTTTGATATGTTTTAGCATTTCTTAATTCTTATTTTTTAAAGTTTATAAGTTTAAAACCAAAATCAATTTCTGAGCAATATTATATTTTATCTTCACATCATAGAACATGTATATAATTAACTAAACTTTGACAGAATTAACTATTTATGTGTTAATAAAAATAAAAAGGTATTTTTAAAACTTCAATTTCACATTCTAAAAAGTTTTAGAAACTTTTTTATGCAAAAATAGAAAATTTTATGTTTTAATGTTAAATTCTTGAAAATAGGGGTAGGGATGATTCAAGGATAAGGGGAAAGATGCAAGGGGAGGGTGGATGATGCAAGGGGAGGGTGCATGATACAAGAGGCGGGGGATAATGCAAGGGGAAGGAGGATAATGCAAATGTTGCAAAATTGATTTAAACTAATATGGTTGATATACTCTGCTCAGCTGCTTACCAAAACACATATTAAACTTTTTATTGTTTATAAAAGATTTGTTGGCAGTTTTGCATATTTTATTGCATAATTTATGCCACATGTTTGCAAAAAGAGGGCAAATTTTATAAAATAACTACTCTCCTGGATTTTAGCTTTCAAAAAAGCTATTGATCATCAAGATTGGATAATTTTAAATTTAAATTTAAAACGGTCCTATTTCAGCTGAACCTTCAGACACAAAAAAAGAAGAAAATGAAAAAATGAAAAGAAGAAAACGCAAAATAAGAAGATAAAAAGTGATAGAAAAAATGGGGTGGAAATTGTTAAGAAAACAAATTTTTTCTTTAAATTAAAGAATAGTGCTTTCTGAAATAAATTATTTGGGAATTTTTTTTTAACCTGTTTTGTGAAATTATAGGATGTTAATTTTAGTATTTTGAAAAACTTATACTTTTCCCTTTGTTTAGGCACTGTGCAGGAAAATGTTAATCTCAAAACATTTAAACCTATATACCCTAGATAAATTAGATTCTTGTATATCTATGCTATATATATACTCATGAGTTGAATATTACGTCCGACAATTCTTTGGTGGCTGTAAAAATTAAGATATTGATATTACTCATCTTTCTGACATTTTTTACTTACTGAAAAATTGGACAAAAGTTTTATAAAATATTCCCCTTAATATAAATTATTTAGTTATAAAAGTTAAAATACATGAATAGAAGGATTAATTAATGTTATATACAACTTCCTGCTTAAAAATAGACAATGGAATATAATTTTAAGCATGTGTTTTGGTTCCTTTGTCTAAACATGTAAATGTAAATGTACCATTTGTACATTAATCAAAACAAAATATTTAGAAACTATTCTAAGAGATATCATTGAATATTAATTATTATAATTGAAGCTTTACAGATTTTCCATTGAAGAAACTCCTCTTTTAGAAGACATAAATAATTAAACATTTTTTATTTGTTTTTGTAAATGTAAATTTTCAAAATCCAAATTAAAGTTTTAAAATTAACAAGATTATAAAACACCATGTGAATAAAATATTATTAACAAAGAGTTTTGATGACAGTTAGTCGACCAGTAGTATATTATTTTATCTGAAAAAAATTTCCATATGTTACATCCTTTTTCTATTCATGGAACAACAATACTTCTGTAATTAAGTATTTTAACAAGCAATTTAAATCTGAAAATAAACCGGAAATCTATTGTTTAGGGATAAAACACTTGATGTAGATTATTAAAAATTGCCGCCCTATAAACATAAAAACATAAAAATATTGGTTCAACAGCTTTCTGCTTAAAAATCTATTAAAACTGATATATTTCAATTATTGTTTAGTTCCAGACATATCAAGCTTCAGTTATAACTCATAGGCAAGTATTTTTTATTATTTTATTTATATTATTTATAATATTTATATTTGTAAAATCACAGCTTTTATTGGTATTGGGACATTTAATAGATATGACATTTTTATGTTTTTTCTTCTCTTACCCAAAAGGGAGTTTTAGACCACTGCAGCGCTTGTGTAAAAAGGTTGCCCAAGTTTCGGCAGAAACGCAGCCTCTACTTAGATCTATTAAAAAGGGTTTGTATTAAAATCTTTTTAAATGCATTTTTTACAAATGTACAATTTTTACAGCTTATAAACTCATACCTATATATATTCCAGGTACGAAGATTGTGATAGGTTTATACATCCTGATCACATACTTGTAGTCCAACTACGCGCTTTAAACTTTCTCATTCCTTCTGAAAAAGATTTCAGAAATTAATATTTTCTTTAATGAAAGTTTTTTAAATATAGAGTGTTTAGAATACATCTGTGTCACAGTTTTATGATAGTAAATAATCCACTTTTTTATTCTAAATTATTTCTGCCCAATACTAAGAACTTTTGTGTTAGATATTCAAAATCCTAATCACTTGATCTTGAATTATATTTTGGGTACTTTTAATTTGATGATTAGTGCTTAATTTTTTCATTTGAATTTTTGGTTTCTCCTCAAACAAATTACAATGGACTCTTTACTTTGAGATGGAACATTCATAATCAACTAAAGAGGACGTAACAAATATGAAAAAAACCTTAAAGATAAAAATGGATTCAACATTTTTCAATCTGTTAATCCTATAAAGGAAATAAATTTATTATGATAAACAATTTGAACAACAGTCAAGTTTTATTCTTTCTTTTTGTTAAAAATATTCTTTTGTACTGAAATATTTCTGAAAATATACAAGTTAATAATAATTAATCTGAAAACATGACTCTATATTACTCAACCATTGTTATCTTACAGTCACCTTCTCTTTATAACCATGCAGAGAAACAAAGAAGAAAATGAACAGAATTTGAAGATTGTAAGAAATAAAAAAGAGGATATCAATCTTATTGTTGCTAAGATAAAAATACAAAGGGTCCCAAAGTGATCTCGATATTCACTGTGGACAATTTTAATTGGAGGATCTTTAAAAAATAGTTAACGACGACCCTTTGTTAACGATCGTTAACGACGACCATTTGTTGACGATTGTTAATATTGTCAATAAAAATTTTTTTTCTTCAAAAAATATAGTTTTTTCTAAAACAATTGTATAAAAAACGGTCGCAAATCGTTTTTATAAAAACGATCGTTATTTGTTTTCTTAAAATTCAGAACGAGTGGGTTGTTTTCAAAAACGATGGTTTTTTTTCAAAAATGAAACGATCGTTTTTGAAAATGATTGAAAAACGAAACAAAAAACGATCGTTTAACGATTGTTTATCTTCTTTTTTGAAATGTCATTTCACACAATCATTAAATCTATGAATAGACAATTGTTTAAAAGTTGTGAGAAATATTTGACCTGTAATATACAAATAAATAGTGAGCCCAGACATGCGCATGCGTGATATTGAATACAGCTTTCTGCTTAAAAATCTATTTAAACTGATATATTTCAATTATTGTTTAGTTCCAGACATATCAAGCTTCAGTTATAACTCATAGGCAAGTATTTTTTATTATTTTATTTATAATATTTATAATTGTAAAATCACAGCTTTTATTGGTATTGGGACATTTAATAGATATGACATTTCATTGATAAGACATTTCATAATTTTTAAGTAATATTTTTGTTTCATCTTAATATTTTCACTTGTCTATGAAAAACTTTATCACGTAGGCCTTGTCTTCCTTCTACCAAGATGCGATCATCTACTATCATTTTGGTAAGTCTTTAAGTAGAAGATCTTCATTTTGATTTTCAATTAAAAGAAAGGAATTGAGTCCTTGCAACAAACTCAAATTCCCTGTTCTCTATATCTTTGCAATCTTTGATATTCTAAACTTAAACTACTTTATCTAACAGTATCCATAGTTTGAAATATCTAAGGTTTACAACACTGGGTTATCAGAATTTTATTTACTTTATTAAAAATTTAAAGGATTGATGCATATAATAATATTTGTTTCTACGCAATGTTTTTGTAAATAGTGATTGAATTGTAGCAATTTCCCTAAGAGACCTCAGTCTTAAATTGAGTTCACATTTGATTCAAAATATTTTAAAACAATTTAGGTTTATTATGATCAAAAATTTTTAAAATGTATTTCAAAGAAATTATTTTTGACTTAATAGGTTGCCCTCCCCCCTTTTGTTGTAAAACCGCAAAAATGTTTCCAGTCATTTATTTTTATTTTATTTTTTTTCAAACCGAAGACTAATATATTTTTATTTTAGGCTTGTATACTAATAGTAGCCTGCTATATCAGCAACATTGAAGCTAATAGCAATCTTGAAAATAATGAAAACACTAAAAATGTTGAGAAAATTGAACCACCACCTCCCAATTGGCCTAAGCTAGATCCAACCCGCCCCAAACTGCGCTCAAAAAACCCAAATAATAACGAAAAAGCCGAAGAATTTGAGTTTGTGGCAAAGACTTATTTTCCTTAGACATGTACTAACTAAAGTTTGTTTTCTTCAGAGCATAATTTGTTATCGACAACAGTTTTTCTTTTCATTTGTAATTTTATTAAAATATTTTTTATTTTTTTCTATTTTCAGCTTCTCGTCGCCTCTGCTCTGCTCGCCTTTGTGGCTGCTCACGAGGAGAAGCTTCCTCCCCAACCCTTCCGCTAATTGAACGTCCACTACCATTTCCCAATTGGAAACCAACATACCAACTAAAAAAGAAAACATCAAGAAATAAAATAAACATCCCCCCATCACTACCCACTACCACCACTACCCCACCCTTTCAAAGAGCTCTATTCATTTAGTTAGAAGATCCACTAAACCCCAGACAGCTAAACCCTTAGAAAAAAATCAAGAAATAAAATAAAATAAGTAAATCTCCACCACCACCTCCCAGTGGATCCCAATCTGGACAATCCGGAGAAACAGGATCAGGAGGAGCTAGGTCTATCCATTTACTTAGAAGATCCACTAAACCCCAGACAGCTAAACCCTTAGAAAAAAATCAAGAAATAAAATAAAATAAGTAAATCTCCACCACCACCTCCCAGTGGATCCCAATCTGGACAATCCAAAGAAACAGGATCAGGAGGAGCTAGGTCTATCCATTTAGTTAGAAGATTGAAGAATTATGATAATTATCAAAAAATCCTGTAAATCTCTGTTGTCATGTCAACTAATTCTATTGTTATGTTTTTTTATTCTAATAAAATATTTCATAATAAATTGATTATATTTTCAAGCAATTTTTTTTTAATGGAAATCAGAACATTTTTTGGCTGAAATAGGACAATTAATTGTGAAAGTCATGAACCTAGACAAACATATGCATTTGTAAATTGGGTGTTAAAGTTAAATCAAGGAATGACACAGCAAAATTGTCCCAGTCTCAAAAGTTGTTAATTATCAATTTATTAAAACTCTTATCATAGATTCAGCCTGCTTATAAAAAGACAGGGTCAACTTTGAAGTGTCGCAAAGCCTTGGGCTTTGATTTTATCGCTCAAACTCACTTATGCTTTTCTGTAGCCCTTCATATGTACATTTTAGCACTACAAAGCACTTGATAATACCTTTGGGTTTTAAGAAGTAATTAGCAAAATTACCATCGATTTATGCTAAAGAGCTTGAGACCTTTATATCACTGGTGTTCTGATCTACAACAGCCCCCCCCCCCAGCATGAATTATGATATATATATAGGGTCACCCATAAAATGATTTTAGGGCAGAAGAGTGCAGATGGAAAATTTATATTTGGCCAATTGAATGACTATAAATCGATAAAGGATTAGATGAAAACTCAAAGTAAAACATTATTGTTTAGGCAAGTTAAGATTATATTTTTCATGAATTTTATTTAATTTCAAGGTTTCCAGCTTATTTCAGACATTAATAATTTCATAGGTTCCATCATTTTGTTTCAAGTATTATTATATTTTCTGAAACTTAAGGGACTGTAGAGGTAATTTCAAGTAAACCTTTATTACAGAGTGGCATGTCTCATTCCCGATGGTACCCTTTAAACCTCTATTCAAATGTATTGTTGTTTTTTCTTCTCTAAAAAGCAATTCATTTTGAGAATTTGCTAATCTCTTTCACATTCAAAAGTAATCAATTTCCCAGAGTGAAAATATAATATCTCAATCATCCATAATTAGACAAAGGTTTAAAGAGTACCATTGTAAATCATACATGTTAATCTATAAATAGAGGGTTAATAGAAATTTAATATCTCAGTCATCCATAATTAGACAAAGGTTTAAAGAGTACCATTGTAAATCATACATGTTAATCTATAAATGGAGGGTTAATTGAAATATAACATCTCAGTCATCCATAATTAGACAGAAGTTTAAAAAGTACCATTGTAAATCATACATGTTAATCTATAAATGGA